TTTTTCGCTCCCCTTTCAAAAGCCAAGCCGGATAATGTTCCGAGATGCGTTTGGATAATGATCGCTTTGTGCGGCCTATGTAACATGCCCCACATGAGCAAGTAAATTTATAGATACACATTGAAGTGGCCCAAAGCGAAAGTTTGTCCTTTACACACCCCAGAATGGTAGGTCGGCTAGAGAAGATGATTCGAAGTTTAGCTGCGTGGAATGTTTTATTCATTGATTTCGAAATCCGTTTATTTAGGATTTCAGCAGCTGTATCTCCCTTAAATTCCATATTCATAAATAGAGTTTTTTTCTCTACTGTCAATGCTTTATCATGGGGTCTAGGTACCAAGTTTCTATCGATGAATCTTATGCAATGACACTATGGGTTATTTTAATTATCTGAAAAGTTGCAAGGATCCTGTGACAGTGAAGGAACTCAGTGGGTTTCTTGGTTATTCTGTCAAGCTTGCTATAGCGAATACTAGAATCAATTTTCTGAGAAGCTGTATAGACAAACGCGAATATCCGAGACCATTTTTCAAATCATTACGCCGTAATCATATTCATCCAAATCATCGTTCGTTAAAACGTCTTACTCTCAATTATGTCGATGAAATTAAGTCTAGAATACCAGAACTAGAACGAAATATCTCATTACGCTCACATATATTATTTGATTTGTCAGAAGATCAACGTTTCAATTTCAAAGATTACATTGATATTGTGAGCAAAAATCGTACTGAAGATGTTATACTGAAATTAATAAAAAGTCTAAAACAGACCGAGACGCAAGCTTCCTTTCCCGAATCTCCAGAGAAATTTGTTTTCAATTACTCAAGTATAACATTATCGACTATTCAGCTACAAGCATTATCCCTTGGTCCTAAATTTTGTAGCACTTCCACTAACATTAATGAACTCAACGCGAAAATCCAGTTTGAAGGCCTCATGCGACAGACAAATGACCTTACTCCAGTGTCTAATGAAGATTTTGAGCATTTTAAAACAACTCTTGTGGACTGTTGTAATCAATATGTAAATAAAATACCTACAATTAGCCGATTACTCACAAAAGAACATAAATCTCAATTATCTGATCTGCGGAGAAATCAGGACTTAGTTTTATGCCGCCCAGACAAGGGTGCAGGAATTGTTCTTATGGATCGTATTGACTATGTTACAAAAATATCTTCAATATTATCTGATCCTGTCAAATTCTCTATTGAGAACGTTCAAAAAGACACTACTGAAAAAACTGAACAAATGCTAATTAAAATTTTGAAGAAAATGAAAGATGAGGATATTATCAATCATGACCTCTATGAACACCTCAAACCATCTGGTTCTGTTGTACCAAGACTATATGGACTACCAAAAGTTCATAAGAATAATAACCCACTACGTCCTATACTGGATATGAACAATTCTCCCTATCACTTAATCGCTAAATGGTTAGTTAACATTCTACAACCTGTTAAAAATCATATCAACAAACACAATTCTCTTGATTCCTTTGACTTTGTTGACTCCATTAGAAATATCAATGTATCCGGTAAAAAAATGTTCTCATTAGACGTCACTTCTCTTTTCACAAATGTTCCTCTCACAGAAACCATTTGCTTTTTATGTGACTATATTGAAAATAATAATCTTGATATGCGTATCCCGATACATTACCTTAAAGAACTACTTCTAAGATGTACGCTCAACGTGCAATTTAGATTTAATGATATTTTCTATAAACAAATAGATGGAGTTGCAATGGGCTCTCCATTGGGTCCTCTCCTGGCTGATTGTTTTATGGCGAACCTAGAAAATTCGGTACTTCGACCAATAATTGAAAGATTTCATTTATATAAAAGATATATGGATGACACTTTCATTATTTGCGAAGAAGACAGTGACCTCAATGATATTTTGAATATTTTCAATAACTGTCACCCATCAATCCAATTCACCTTAGAAGCAGAGACAAACAACGAATTTCATTTTCTTGATATCCATTTAAAAAGAATGCCTGACGGTTTATTACAGAGATCGATATACAGAAAACCCACTTGGAATGGACAATACACGAACTTCCACAGTTGGGTTCCATTAATTAGAAAAAGGAACTTAATTCATTCTTTATCCTCAAGGATCAGGCGAATTTGTTCCAACGACACAATAGATGGGGAACTATTTTATCTTCGACAGACCCTCATCAAAAACGGTTATCCACCGAGATTCATCGATAGAAACTTGGTACCTAGACCCCATGATAAAGCATTGACAGTAGAGAAAAAAACTCTATTTATGAATATGGAATTTAAGGGAGATACAGCTGCTGAAATCCTAAATAAACGGATTTCGAAATCAATGAATAAAACATTCCACGCAGCTAAACTTCGAATCATCTTCTCTAGCCGACCTACCATTCTGGGGTGTGTAAAGGACAAACTTTCGCTTTGGGCCACTTCAATGTGTATCTATAAATTTACTTGCTCATGTGGGGCATGTTACATAGGCCGCACAAAGCGATCATTATCCAAACGCATCTCGGAACATTATCCGGCTTGGCTTTTGAAAGGGGAGCGAAAAACAATCACGAGTTCTATACAGGAGCACTTAATCAACTGTGGACATATCGCTCCAAAAGACTCTTCGTTTAAAATAGTTTACAGAGTCAAAGGAACTGGATCGAAGGGGGTTCGAATCAATATTTTATGCACCGCAGAGGCATTGGCAATCCACAAACTAAAGCCTGAACTTTGCGTGCAGAAACGATTTGTCCAGCCTCTTATCCTTCCTTGGCCTTAATGGGTATGTTGCTAGGTTGTTTTTTTTTTTCCTAATGCACTTTTATTATTATCCATATTTTTAAATTACTATTTTGCACTTTAAACTTTAATCATTTATTATTATTACCTTTTACAAGTTTTCTTGATTATCATTCAGTTTATTATTATGACCTTTGTTGTTTTGTCGTTTTGTAGTGAACAAGAACACGGGTTGGGACAATCGATTGTATTTAGCACAAAGATTACAGACTATCTCAATAAAATGTGAATACCATAAAGTCAATCGTCAATTTGCAAAATATCATTCCATCATATCAAACTGTACTGTTCCCGTTGCAAACACTAATCCATTGTCGCCCATTCCATTGTACATGCGTTTTCTTACAATTCCATTGTGCTCTTGCTCTTCCTTTCTCGATCTTCGCCATCTTCTGCTGCCGGACATTACGTTCTTTTAACGCACGTTATATACTACTTATATCAATATAAGTAGCTCACACCACACTCGCACCCCCCATAAGGCAGTCGTTCTTGTGGTGGTTCATGCTCGCCGCGCAACATTCTCCGTCTCTGCAGTCTGTGCCACGCTCTCCGTCAAGATGCCGAGTCTGCGGCGCGCTGGCTTCCACAGCTCTGTCGACCTGCCGGGGTAACAACAACCAACATCCACCCGGCACCTGGGACGCTTGACATCCGCACTCCACCGGCCTGCTGAGCCATCTACATCCGATGTCCGTCCAGCAGCCGCGCGTCCCGAAGCTCCACTCCGTCGACAGCACCCGCTACAGCCAACGCAGCCCCGCCAGGACACTTCACCAGACGCCACCTCTCCGCACCAGACTGCCCCAACTGGCACCCCAACTCCAGGCCCGCAACGGCGTCCGCAGAACAGCACACTCCTCCTCTCCTGGTTGGCAGCGACACCAAATGTAGTGAGGAAGAACACGGGTGGGGACAATCGATTGTATTTAGCACAAAGATTACAGACTATCTCAATAAAATGTGAATACCATAAAGTCAATCGTCAATTTGCAAAATATCATTCCATCATATCAAACTGTACTGTTCCCGTTGCAAACACTAATCCATTGTCGCCCATTCCATTGTACATGCGTTTTCTTACAATTCCATTGTGCTCTTGCTCTTCCTTTCTCGATCTTCGCCATCTTCTGCTGCCGGACATTACGTTCTTTTAACGCACGTTATATACTACTTATATCAATATAAGTAGCTCACACCACAGTTTTTCTTCGTATCTGTCAATTGGACTATTATCTGACCCTTAAATTTTGTTCTTTCTTACCCCTTGATTAGTACGTTAACCTCATTTGTTATTTATTGTCGAATCCATTTTTTTGTGATACAACCCTTTCTATCCTTCTATAGACATACATTTTCCATATAACTATATATGCGAATGTACAGCTTAAGTAAATGATTTCGTCGAAAAGAAAATTTTCTTCGCTGAATTCTCTTTTTCTTATTCAATGACACTATGGGTTATTTTAATTATTATCACAATACTTTGAAAGATCTAGAGACATTTATTGAGCACCCAACTCTTCATACTAAGAATATATAGTTTTAAAAATAAATGTTTGTTTACAATTTATTTCAAGTAATTTGTCGGTTCCACATCAGGGAATGTGTAGTATACAATAATCTATTCATACTGGAGCACTTTACTTGTTAATCCACTTTAGATGTAAAAAAATACTCAGTCCTAAATACCAATGATCTACTACCAAGATATTTAATACAACTGGAAACCATTATAATATTATCCTGATGATGACTGAAATTACCAAACGAGAAGTAAACATAATTAACTATTTTTGACACAGACTAAACATATGTGAACCCCTTCCGAATGAGCTGAGGACGATTTCTAACAAATAAAATGAACTATATTTATTAAAACTGGAAAATTACAGTACATTATCCTTTCTTTATATGTCGGGTTTTTCCATACTTTCGAAAAGACAGTGTTTACTAACACCAACGATATATCTTATGCCAATCCTACAGCGAAATCAGCTGTATAATGAAGAGGATCAAAAGTCCTGGAAGTATGTGTCCCGAAAATCTTTCTGAGTAAAACAAAAGGCCGGAAAAGACTAGAAGATAAAAAAATTTCATCATATAAGAAGTCAGTGAAATGTATGAAATCAGTCACAATAATTTGAAGAAAGCTCAAAAAACAGATAGTCAAAGACAAACACCATATAGTCATTTAACTGTTGATTCGCTTTTCATGCGTAGTTTAATTAAATGTTTTATTTGTTGAGAAGACGCCTCTAGTTTTGCACGTCGACTGGCAAGTTCCAAGGATAAATTCACAGCACGTCGAAAACAAGATTGTGCATGACGTAAACTAGAAGGAACAAGTACTCCAGAAAACCATCGGATTGGGTCTGTTGAAGGGTTAAGATCAAACTTATTGCTAGCCAATTCGTCAATTAGCTGAAAACGAGTGGTTTTAAAATCCTTATCATAGGTAGGTTCGATAGGCTGGAAGGAAAGTGAAAAACGTAGTATTATAGCTCTTGAAATACATGTCATCTATGAACGTATAGACCGTTTTAGAAACGATTTGATTATGTTTCAGATCTTTATTCCCATAATAAAATTTTCAAACCGACCCTGATTCAAAAGGCTTGAAACATATATAGAGTAATTTCATACACATAGTTCCCTTTATCACTTTGAAAAGAGCAAGAACAAAGATTCTAGCAGAATAACATGAATTCATTTTATTTCGTAGGTTCTCGTCAGCTGCTTACAACCTATAGTATTTAAAAAGATAATAATTACATAATGGGTTTGAATTGCTTACGTGAGAGGGTTTATATTTAAGAAATATTCGTAAAGTATGACATGGGTGTAAATGAAATCAATAGGCTGAATATTGTAAATATATACCTAATGTGAAAGAATATTCTAGAGCATTAATTGTGACAACAGTTCAAAGGGGTAGAAACAATTGATTACATAATGAATAAACATTGATAGGAACATAGTGAGTAGAGTTCAGTTGAAAGACTATTAATTTTTTTTAAAGATAGTTGAAAAAATAAAATCAATGACGTAATAAATATAAAAGACAAAGATAATAAAAAAAATTTTTAAGCTGCAGCGGAAGAATATTTGTCACGAAGGCAGGGAAAGATTAACAATTTTTTCAAAAAAAATTAATAGTCTTTCAACTGAACTCTACTCACTATGTTCCTATCAATGTTTATTCATTATGTAATCAATTGTTTCTACCCCTTTGAACTGTTGTCACAATTAATGCTCTAGAATATTCTTTCACATTAGGTATATATTTACAATATTCAGCCTATTAATTTCATTTACACCCATGTCATACTTTACGAATATTTCTTAAATATAAACCCTCTCACGTAAGCAATTCAAACCCATTATGTAATTATTATCTTTTTAAATACTATAGGTTGTAAGCAGCTGACGAGAACCTACGAAATAAAATGAATTCATGTTATTCTGCTAGAATCTTTGTTCTTGCTCTTTTCAATATATAGAGTAATCAATATTAATAGGAGAAAAATCATTTCGATTTGCGTCCTGTTAAGTTCCATTAAAACTCGTGGATAAAATCAAGCATGACTATTTTGAACAAATCAAGTGAAATTTGCTACACGTAAACGGCTGGATTACATTTCAGTGTGTTTATCAGTTCATAAGCGTGTGAACAAATACAAAGTGTGTATTAACTGTGGCATACAAATAAAGGTGGATAAATATGTAACGGAAGGATTGCGAAATAGTTTCACTAATGCGATAAGTATTTCAGATGGGTCACAGGACTGGTCACAACTAAGGTTTGGTAAATTTGTATAGAAGTAGTTTAAAGTGATTATTCACATTTGTTAAAAACTTATCCACACGAAAATGTAAACCTACCAAACTCGTTTTAGTGTAAAATTAAAGGCAGTATGGACAATGCTTTTCCTTATTATGCTTGTTGTTCTTATGTTTCTCTTAGAGAGAGTTAATGTACGATAAGATTCTTATAAATGTATTGAACTAATATACCACATAGCTCCGATAAACTGTCGTCCCATTACACTATCACTAACAATTTCAGAGATATTACTGTAATACACTTAAAGTAGTTGCAGCAGATACATTGATTATGAGTATATAACGTTTGTATAGTATGCATTATTAGATTGATTTTATTCTTCAAAAACTTTTTAATCGCCTTGAGCTAATCATCAAGGTCCACGTTTGGACTTTGTTCCATCTTCTAAGAATTACGTAACCATGTAGTATGATTATCCTACAGAATAAATGGTTCACAACCTTGAACATAAGCACGCAGGTAGTTGCTAATTTATGAAATTTTACTTCTTAGGTTAAATTTACGTCAAGAATATTATTAAAACCTATGGCATACTGAGTTTATGATGATGATGCGTGGAATCATAGGACTAAGTATCACCAATGTACACCCTTACATAGTTAATTTAGTTTTAGAAAGCGACTCTGCGTAACGAGAATTTCTCATGGCATTAAGTACTATTGAGTACATTAGAATAACTCGGGCATGAAAGATTTTAGTAGTGACGAACTACTGAGTGAAAAAGTTATTTTAAAAAATAAGAAATCCGATATCATACGAAAAATGAGACATGATATATGATTAATACATTTATATAAATAAAACCAATGTTCAGATGCTTTAGAATTTATGGTAAGAAAAAGTGTGAATTACGATTGACAATTGGACTGTTAAAGTATTGTAATATCTGGATGCTTGAGCACAAGTATTACAGTTCAATCAACGAACAAGTGTAACAGCTTAAAGTCAAGTAAACTACGTATCAATCAAAATATGATGAGCTAAAAAAATTTTGTTATCTGATCATAGAGAAGTGAATTCTACGTATACCCATGTACAGCCTTAGTTTCCTAGTGAAGTTGTACTGAAGTTGACAGACAAGTGGATCTCGAAAGCTCTGTTCATAGAAATTCGAGCTCAGATTATCACAAAACTAAAACAGTATCAACAGGCCATGACGCAAATCAATGCTATAGTTGCATTATTAATAAATTCTTGTGGTGATATATTCGGGAGTCTACGGGTTGGCATATAAAAGTAAGCTAAATTGAAATCTAAGAATAAAAATATACACAGTATTATTCTAAACCTCATGAAGCAGAAAAGTAAGACAAAAAACAACGAAATCATGTTAACTGTTTAATGAAAAAAAAGTTTATGAATAGGCTGCCAAATCGTATCAACAATTTACAGACAAAAAGGTAATATGAGCTGAAAGTTTGAACAGAAGTATAAAAAAAACTGGTCAAATTAGATAGTTTAATTTAATAGCAAGTAGAAAGACTCAAAAATGAATAATAACTATGATAAAGACGATCTAAAAAATTTAGTGAATACACAGTCGACACAATTAAAGAATAGTGACTACAATGGGTTTAAAAGTTGTAACACACTAAGCGCATTCTTTGGCAAACATCAACCTCTGTTTGAACAAACAAAACCGAAAATACTCGTTAGCAGAGGACAGAAAACAAGATCTGAAACCATAAGATTTACAAAGAACAATAAGTATGATTGGAAATAACTGAGACATGATTATGAACTCCGAATCCGTTACGGGTTAGCTCCCAGTAAAGATAACGTGATAAAGCGGTATGAAACTATTTCAAATTATTTGAATTAGAAAAATGCGTAACGCGAGTGAATAACCACCCATTATTTAAAAAAGATATGGTTCTATATGTATTCGCTGATGTTCTAATAAAAAACCCGAAATATCAGTTTAAGCCAATTACAACTGAAAACAGGGACATAGTGGTCATATTATGATTTGACCATAGTCATTATTGAACAGTTGCCATTGGACTTCTAAAAACCATGTGGCTAGACAGTAATGTGCTATCCTTGAGACATCAATGTCCATCGCTTGATTGAGAACAAGAATGAGAATAGATGCTCGTGGATCTTGGACTGAACATGGAGATTTCTACCACTTCATGGCTTCCCAGCCACTAGTTTGTTACACGAACTATTTCGCATTCACAAAAGGCTACATAATAAATCCGGTTTGCGATGTAGAAGCAAGATGATATAAATCGAAATACTTCTGAATGTTATCTATCAAGTCAAGAGGAGACAACGATCCATAAGTGTGTTAAATTAATGCATACACATATAGGTTAGCAGGATTCCTCTCCAATTAAAGAAAGAAATAGCGTTTAGTCATTTAAATGTAAATCTTTAAACGTTATACAATACCTCTTCAATGACCGCAGCACGGAAAGATGCACCACGAGTAGACATTTCGTTTAAATTGTAAGAGGTTGAAGAGATCGAACAACTGTTTCCCCGGAGATTATGTCGCGTTTTAGCCAGTAAAAGTCTTCCTTCGCCTTTCATCTAAATTTACAGTAATTCCATAACCTACTTAAAGAATCCTCTAAATGGTGATTCAAATCAATAATGGTAGACAAATTTTCCAGATGATTTAATACAAGTGTGTCTAACTCATCGTCAGTTGGTATCGTGATCATTGATTTTGAATATACTGGAAAGAATGAAGATATTTTGTCGGTAGGTATAATAGCTTCCTATACTCACCTGATAAAAATTAACTTAAATCGGATTGTTAGCAGTGGCGTCACACGAAAAAGATGGAGGTGGAGAAGAAAAACTGGTAACCGTAGTAAAAATAATATTAAAAAATGAAGACAGAGCAGCTAGAAAAATGTAAGGGATTGATATTTCCTAGTTTCCAAAACCATAGAGGATATTTCTCTTTGGGGATCTGAAAAGGAAAATTGATTAGTAGTGAAGGTCTCAATGAATTAAGAACATGAATCCAGTACACAAACGACAGTGTTCTGAAGCTGTTCACACGTTTTTGACTAGCATCTTATATCTTAGCTACGTGTATATTTTAGATCCTACCACTAGTACATGAAGTTCATGAGGTAAGGCGAAATGTTCCATTTTAATGTTGACTTTTCCAAATCTTTCACTCCATTGCCCAATACGTATAACAAAGTTGAGAATTCACAGTAAAACCAACCTTTACTTCATTTTCACTGTTACATAACTGGTACCTATAAACAGATAATAATGTCCGATGCTTCTTGGTCAGTGATAAATAATGCGAAACTTAGCACAGACGTGCAAAACACTTCTCATTAACAGGGTACAGGAAATCAGGATTAGATGCTAATTTCCACTAAAATAATACTAAAAAAAGTTGTGTATTAAACCTAGTGAATATGCTATTAAGAATCAAAGAAACAGACCGTAGAATGAAAAATACTAAGTAGTATTACGCTTAAGAGATAAACGACAGAAAATGAATGAAAATGCACTAATCTAATAGATTTTGGGTCACTTTACTAAAGGTTTTCAAATACATATTGCAGACAGATAGACATCATCAGTGTATAATGCGATACAGATGTAAGTTGAAATAAGTTGCCATACCATATTAACACAAAATAAAAGTAACAAAAGTGATCGAAACAATGTAATAGCAATAATAAAGACTAAAGTTTAGGAATATGGTTTGGTAAGACAGAGTATTAGTACTTACTGAGAGATATTTGGATTAAAGATCGAAAGATAAAAAAAGAAGGGGTCTGAGACACTGGTGAACTATTCTGAGCCAACATCTCAGAATACTGATGGCAGTTATCACGCAGACCCCGACCAAGTACCTCCTATCTACACATGGCTTAATCCAACAGTCAATGACTTTATGGACTGGTGAAACGTGGCCTATATCCCAACCACCTCATCGAAGAAAACCCACTACCTAATTTACCAACTTTCCCAAGTGCTCAATTTTAAAATTGCTCACTCTGTTATTCCATGGAACGCGAGCAGTGCTCCGTAGAAATCTATGACCCGACACCTTTAGCATATACGTGTCTTACTTTCATAGATAATGTTTTACAATCATGAAGTAATAGAGTGGACCGCTGTGTACTATATACGCCTTTTGGGTGGCAAACAGAAAATTTGCCTACGCTCCAAGTAGCGCAAGCTGACAAACGTTAAGTGGGTTTTCCGATTCCGTGCCAAGATGATGAGACCTCTAAGATAAATGGACTGACCAACGCACTCAACAACTTCACTCATTATTACCAGTGCCGAAGTATTTTGAGAAGAAACCCATTCCACATACGCTAGAATTGTTCTTTGAGACGATCAGAAGACTAAGTTTTGTCAGCGTCTTTGCCAAATAAGACTGCATTATTTAAGCCTCCTAAATCGATGAGCAGATCGCCTAGTAGGAAACTTGGTAATATCTCGGTTAATTTAATTGATGAAACTGGATCACCAAACCTACACATCTCTATGATTAAACCATCGGGTTTTGCTGCTATCCATCGTCTTAGATTAGCCATAGTATTTCCAACCTCATTAAGAGTTAGAGAACTTGTATCAATTCCCCGCTTATGTTTATTAGGAATAAGGGGTGACTGAACAGTGGCTGGAGCCTAATTGAACTGTTCCCTAAGGTGTTCTGCTTATCTATCTAATCTCCCTGATTGATAGTGGATAATAGTTTCATCCTTTTCCAAGATAGTCCCACTAACACTTAGCTTTTTAATACTTTTTTAATAAGTCGGTGGAGTAACCTAATGTTACTTATCTCTTCTGTATTACATTTCTTTTGCTTTCGTTACCGACCACTGGTCACGATCATTGCGTTAACTTTTTGTTAGTTTACGTTTGAACTGTCGTTGCTCTCTATCGTATCTCCAAACCTGCCGAGATGACTTATCGAATATCCATCAATTCACTTCGTGTCACAGAAACCCATTGCTCTTTACCAACCTTTTAATTTGAGTTCTTGATGTCGCTGCTGTAATTACACTTACTTGGACATCTTTTTAAGTCTCTTCAGGGTGAACAATTACTTTAAGATCAATAATGTACTTAGCTAATTTTTTCCCAAAATACATCCTTGATCTTTTCATCATAATTTATATTTGAATGGTTGGTCAGCTACAACGTAGGACCAGACACACATATGCACCGGTCCAAGTTGTCATACCTCATCTCCCGGTTGCGACTTTCTTACGTCCATTAAAGCGCATATAAATGTGTGCCCTGACAATGGCATAATTGCAGTTCAAATATATACTCCAGTAGAAACGAAAGTTTCCTATCGACCCTCTCCAGAGGTGGCTAATGGAAATGTCGGTCTATTTGCGTTCGAATTTCAGTGGTAGGGTCACAAGGTTAGATGGTGTCTCTCCTTATAATTAAATTTTGTACTTACCATAAACAGTCGGCCGTTTGAACAGAACTGCAGAAGATGATCACTGTTATCTGCTCACTGGGTTGAGATACCATAAGACCCACCTAAGTGTTAAAGTTGATCTAGTCAACTGACTTAAGCATTAAGATAGCCTGCCACGACTAATACGTCTGAGCCCCTAGGTTTCTAAAGAAGGCTACGAAGTTTTCTACTGAGACTTGTAGGACTCTAAGAGATTGCAGGGATGATGGTTTTATGAAGCAATACAGAATAAGGATAAGTTACTTCAGAATATTAATCCATTGTAAGTGTGAGGGAGTTACTTAGTATTCTGCAAGCCAATGCATGGTTATACTTTTCAGTCTATACTAAAGGGAAACTGATTATTATCGATCCATATAACTAAGATTTATCGGCAAAGCTTACAGGGAATTCGCTGTTCTCATGAGAACAGTTAGAAATAGACGGAAAAAAGTAGGAAACGCAAGCGACGAAAATGCAAATCTATGGAAAGCGTCACTTAACGGTTGCCTATTATATTTACTTCCCTTTCTACTTTATTAAAATTTATCCACTTTCTCATTTATCTTTACTTTACCCCACTCAATTGAGTATCCAATGCAATTACGTTCGTTTAATTGTAATAAGACTATTTGACGTCTTTTCAAGTACATATTACTAGTATTTCTACGCTACCAGGATTTATCACGAAGATTCAAAAAGAGAAGGACAAGGTCTTCTGTCTTTAACGTACGTAACGCAACAGTACAAATTATTGCACAATATCCAACGACCAATATATTTCTGACGAAGTTGTATAAGCCACTTGGTTACGGGTTAAAGCGTTGTCAAACTCCGAATACCTGTGACATCTTCATTGGTGAGCCTAACGTGATCTGGTACACCAAATAGCGAATTGTGAGTCTGTTCCTTTTTGGGATCCTATATATCATTGCCTTATTTTAATTTTCTATACGTTGTGTGGCCAGACAACATCGAAGCCTGGTTTCGCTACTCAGAAGCCGACCTCTCCAAGCACGGCGTGATCAACATACGTGCACAATTCCTCGCAGTAGTCAAGGCACTACCGCGCGAATTCAACAGGTACGTAACACCTAGTATGTTTACTAGTGATGTTTCTGAACCTTACGAAACGCCGAAACGTTCTATTCTCAGACGCGGAGACCTAACCGATAGACAAAGTTTAGACCAACTCCTCAATAACATCAACCTGCAACACGGTTCTGAGACGGACATGTTGCGACGAATGAAAGAGGTTATCGGCCAAAGAACCTTCGATTATGGCCTATTTAAACAACTTTTCTTATCCAAACTTCCTCAACAAGTGTAAGATGTGCCTGTCTCCTTTCACAACAACGCCTTAGACGAGCTGGCTGCATTCGCCGACCGCACTTTGGAAATCACGAAATTTAATGCCGAGGTTTGTTCAGTCAAAAAAAGCCTCAAGCGACACAGAGGGACATAACCGAGTTATGTCATACCCTTACACGTTATCTTAAATTTCGCGACGGCCGTAAGCGATCACACACCCCTCGAAGGAGCACTTCACGTAAGCGATCTGTCCCTGGACCAAGAGAGACTGATAACCCCGACTGGTCCTGGTATCATAACCAGCATGGAAAGTCCTCCAGAAATTTCAGAAGACCCTGCAGTTTTCCCAACTCAAAACCGGTTGACTCAAAAAACAACTCGGGAAACTTCGAGCCGGCACACGTTAACGGCAACCGTAGCCAGCGATTATAGCCGTCTGTTATACGTCACAGATGTGACAACGAGAGTTCGCTACCTCGTCGACACTGGCGCAGAAGTTGGGATTCTCCCAGCGAATCCCAACGATCGACTTCACGAATCTGTTTTAAACTTACAGGTGACAAACGGAAAACCTATCGCTACGTATGGAAAAAGGTACGTTTACCTTAACGTAGGTTTACGCAAACCCATTCACCGGATCTTCGTTGTTGCAGATGTTCCTATGCCAATCATTGGTATGGACCTTCTACAACACCATAATCTAATCATCGATACGTGCAAACGGAGGCTAGTAGATGGAAACACTAATTTGTCCGTTTGCGTAACTTCTTTTTCGGTTGCAGATTATTCCCAGTCACAGTTAAGCATAGGATAGACCCACTCTATCAACCATTACTCGATAAGTACCCTGGGATACAACAAACTCAACCGAAACTACCGTGTGTAACCAGCAACGTTACACATCACATCACGAATACAGGACCACCTGTATTTTGACGTAAAACTGGTGAC